GAAACATTTTCGAAATTCCTAGCCTTCCTTTTCTAAGTTATACATTTGTATAATTATTGTATTATATTATACATATTAAGAAAACGCTCAAATATGAGTAACATTTCAAAAGAACACCGTGGGCTGAGAGTCTGACATAAGTAATATGTATATAATGTACTAGGTTTCCGTGTGACTTCGTCCACGTGACTAGGATATGTTTATTGACCGGGCTAAAAGGGAACTAAAGTCCTTCTCCATCTCAACTATTACGTGTATACTAAATTTCAAGAAGATACGTCGATAGTTAATTTTAAACTTTCGCGTTCTCTACACGTATTAAATTGCACGGACTACCAGAAGGAGACGTCATTTACTTCAGTCTTGCTGTACCAACATTTTGACGTGACTTATACCACATTGAAACGTCGGCAATAAAAAATAAATTATGTTGGTAGGCACTACATATTTACCTGTAATTGGATTGCGTTAAGTCCTGAATGTGAATTTAAAATATAACTGGTCTAACCGTTAATACACCTAAAGGTGATAAATAAACTTACTTTCATATTTATAATAATAGAAATTTTGATTTTCCTTCTCTGGTTATTCGATTAGAATTACTTTTGTTTAATTCCGCTACCATTATTAGTATGTGTATGACTGCCAACACTTTAAAATTGACTATTATTTCCTACACGGAACCGCACAGGAATATCTGGGCAGCGAACTATTAATTAGCCTGAAGATGACTCGTTTAAAAGAGAAACATGTCTCGCAAAACGTGTTTGGACGAAGTGGCAATCGGAGATTGATAGCTAATATGGAAGTTTGTAGAACGTCTGTTAATGAGAATAGTAATCAACCTTCAAGTGTTGGCAGTCGTACATATACTAATAATAGCGGAATTAAAGAAAATAATTATAATCGTATAACCAGTGATATGGCCTTCAGCAAGACAACATCTATAGTTTTCAGTAGAATATTCCTTCTCTTCAGCTTTAGACAACATTCCAATATTATTCAGAGAAGGATAAAGGGTAACGATATATTGTATTCTTGCTTCATTACTATAAGAGTAATACAGATATATGACACAGTATAATTATTGTGTGGCGTTCCTAGTATATTCTAAGCCACGCTGCGACGTTCCTAGTCATATCTCTAAGCGACAATAAATGTAATAACCATTCAAATTTATGATAGCTATACTATGGGTATTGCCTACTTGTATATAAACAACAATCAACCAAATGCTTCTGACTAGTCTATCTAGACTTAGTAGTGGGACTAAAGAGCTTCTATTTTTAATGGCATCTACTTAAGTTTACTGCAATAAATAAACAGAGAAATATAAATAAACATGGCCAACTGAATATATTAAGCGTTTCCCGTCTTCGTGGGGCCAATAAAGCTGAACACTAAATTAGATTGGAGTTGATTGAAAGGAACACAAATTACAATGATTGGTTAGGAAAGCGGAAACTCGGATGTTAGCTATTTTTTCTTTGTGATATTTGCACTACTACGACAATATAACACCAGTCTGACCTTTATATCCTCTCTTTTTTTTACTTTTTTAATATGGTCATTTATTGTATCAATATTACATGAATTGTTGATGAATTTTAAATCGATAACTGTATAGTACAACAACTACTACTATCTCCTCCAGGCAACTTTTGGATATGAGCTATTAATATGAAAGAAAACTAAAACATATCTAAGTAAGTAAATAATATATTTTCCAAAATATTATAAATATCATATATATCATATATATCAAAATATTATATATATATATATATCAGGAGTGGGTAATATATAATATTTTTACATTTTAGTTACAACATTTATCTAATATACGAGGTCTGTCCGGAAAGTTCGTATAAAAGTGTTCTGGAATGCGAGAAAGAGGAGTGGGGAGGCCAGGTAAGCGCAGGACCCCTTCCTTATGTCCCTAACAATGCTTCAGTTCTGGTCTGACCGCCGTGCGGTGCGAACTGGCTTGTCACGCCATCTGTGAAGTTACCTCTTAACGAAACCCCGTCGGCATGGAGCCCGCTTCCGTTGAAGAGCAGCGCGTCGTAATCAAGTTTCTCTCGAAACTCGGCAAGAATGGCCGTGAAAGCAAAGAGTGGAAGACATCCGGGGAACCACGAACAAAAAAATCAAGAAAATCCCGCTCAAATGTCAAGACAATGTTGATTGTTTTTTTCGATGTTCGGGGGATTGTCCATCAAGAATTCGTCCCTCCAGGCCAGACAGTTGATGGAAAATTCTACGTCGATGTGCTCAGACGCCTCAAAGCTCGTGTGGCACGAGTTCGTCCAGAATTGGCGCGAGAGGGGCGTTGGATTCTTCACCACGACAATGCCCCTGCCCACACCTCTCTTGTTGTCCGTGAGTTTTTGAGTAAAAATTCCATTACGGTGACCGAACACCCCCCTATTCGCCGGATTTGGCCCCGTGTGACTTCTTCTTGTTCCCAAAAACCAAATTGGTACTTCGGGGGCGGCATTTGGGGGACATAAATGAGATAAAAAAAGCTACGACGGGGCAGCTGAGAAACCTACAACCAGAGGACTTTCAAGGAGCCTTCTCACAGTGGAAACGGCGTTGGCACAAGTGCATTATGTCACAGGGGGAGTACTTTGAAGGGGATAAAATTGATTTACCTGAATAATTGTAAAATAAAATTTTTAAAAAACTTTTATACGTACTTTCCGGACAAACCTCGTATAATATCGAAATGAAGCCCTCAATGAAAATATATAAATACATACATCCGATTGGTATGGGTAATATCGAAATAGATAATGATCACTACTTTTTTTACTATTAATGTTCAAAGAAACCCAATATATAGATATCGGAGCAGTGTCGACATAATCTATACCTACTGTTTATTAGTGTGTACAGTTATTATAGTGTATGCCTATACACTAATAAAAACACACTACCTTTTACAATTTTTAATGGCTCTTGTTCTGAGCAAACTCATTTTGTTTCCTTTTCATTCATAATATCCCGTTGTGGTTTCTCTTAATTTGGCATCTCTTTAAAGCTAATGGCCTCATTTGTTCCTCGGCCGACCATTCGCTTCCCTTCTATTTATTTCTTTAAACAATACTAATAACGCTAAATTATTACATGTCTGAATAAAAACGTTTCAACATTCAACATAATCATACTTCCGGGTGAAGTCGAAACAATTGTCGGAAAGGACAATTTAGTAAGTTCATTAAATTCCCGTTGTCCAGTTATACATATATAAAGAAGCTGCTTTCCCGTGACTTCGTCTGCATGATGTGTTGATAGACCAAGATAAAAGGCAGCTTGTGCCTTTTTCCTTCTTGTATACCAAATGTTATGACATTAGAATAAGCTGTTTTAGTTTAAAAGGTAACAGACAAGCAAACAAACTTAAATTCACTTACAAATTATTAGTCTTTTTTTTCTTTATTCTACTTTGGTGACAAACAAGAATACGGCCTGTCTGATAGTAAACGGAGTTACTGTAGCGTATGTACGGCTGTAACACGATGTTAGGCGCATGTTGCCGATTTACCAATTAAAAAATGTCCCGGTGTCAAATACCTAAGCTCAGATTTATCCGATGAAGATACGAAAAACATCATCATCTGCCTACCCTTATCCCAATTATTATTTGGGGTCAGTCTAAAATTTAATATTCCTTCGATTTTGCACAAAACTGTATTTAATTGCTCATAACTGAGTATACATTCTTGAACAGTTCTCTTTAAAGTAAGGCGTCTGTGAGAGTAATGTTTTTCATTACTCTACAGCCAATCCAGCAAAGACAGGTGAATAGCTAGGTATAAAATGGAATTATATACCTTGTTGGTTGGAAAAGAATTGCACCTGTTTTAGTGTTCCAGTGAAGCATTTAAGTTGTATAATTCAACTACTTGGTTCCTTGTTCCTTTGAATGCAGTTCCATTGTCGCAAAAAATTTCATTATATAAATCTCTATGCGAAATAAACCTTTTAAGGCAGGCATGGAAGGCATAGTGAGGTGGTAGGCCAGTTCTAGATGTATGGCCTTTGTCACGAAGCAGACAAACATACATTCATAAGCCTTGTCGATATGTGCTTTTCTTATTGAGGAATTTTTTACTTGTATAGGTCCAGCATAATCTAAATAGATTTTTTGGAATGGTTTACATGCAGTAACACGTTGTTTGGGTAAGGAACCTATTAGTTGAGCTGCAGCATCAGCCTTCAGTCTAAAATAAATTAAACATTTGTGAGTTACTTTTTTGACCTGCTAATATTATTCACTAGCCAGTATTTTTGTCTCAAGTGAGATAATAATAATTTAGGATCTGCGTGCAGTAACCTATGGCGCTTGTGGCGTATAATAAGCTCCATGATTTGCGACTCCATTGGTAAAATGATAGGGTGCTTTTGAGAATAAGAAATCTCTGAGTTCTGGAGACGCCCATCTACTCATAGCATGCCCGTACTATCCAAAAAAGGAATTAAAGTTTTTAGGGAACCTTTTATATTTTTATTAAATTTTAATGAATTTATTTCCTCAATAAAAATAATATTGTGCTCATTTTTAAGTATAATATTTAGTACTGTGTTTAACTCTGAACTTATTAAATAATTATATTTTAGTTTTAAACTGTTAGGTTTGTACAGAATCTAATCTATCCTATGCGATGGTGAAAGGTAGCTGAAGGCATCATATTCGATTTAACGCATGATACGAGTTAATGATTTAGTGCTCCTATAATTGAGATCCTAATAGTTGTGAATTTAAATCTGGCTCTATCACTAAGTAATCCTCTGGACCACTAGACCAAACTAGATCATTTTGATTTGTTTAATCATCAAGTTTATACTGTAAACAAATAAAATTATAACAATAAAAGTAATGATAGAATCACACCAATAATCATATGAAATAGGTGCTAGTAGATAATTGTTTCTAACTTGATGGGTATTATCGAATCAGCAACAAAAATTAAAGTCATCCATTTTCTTTCCAGGTACTAAATTTAAAGATCGCGATAGTAATATAATCAATGAGTAAGAAGCCGAAAGTGAAAGTGGCAAATTATGGGAGAGGGGTTTCTTTAGAACGCCTGTAACGTACTACTGCACCGATGAGGCTTGTGAATCATGAGTGCTTGGTGCTGCATCGTGATCATGATGTCCACGATCAGTACGAGCGTGCTGTCACCAGCGCCACAGAAGACTGAAGCTAAAGAAGCCTATGGTAAATTATATTTTCTCTTAAAAGTTTTCATAATCCTTAGAATCTTTTTCTGATACTGTTTACCATACTATACCATAGATGTTATAACTGAAAATTTTATAATGACATTTATGATTAGATACTTAGTAATTTTTTACACACTTACAAATTGATACAAAAATATTATTAAAATATAAAAAAATATTTCAATCCCGCCCGCTTCGAAATCGCTCAATAATTATTGGAATATGATTTTCTTCATCATCATCATTTTAGCCATTATTCGTCCACTGCTGGACATAAGCCTCCCCCATAGACTGCCGGATTGATTTTCCTATTTTATAATATTTTCATAAAAGTTTTTCCTTATTTAATCACCTTTAAACGGACGGATTGGATCAAATGTGTTACTTGGAATATTATTTTCTAGATTAATATTATATATACTACTGTATTTATTGTTATAAGGATATTATATTTTAATAATTCGCACCCGAAAATTCTCAGGCTATTTAAATACAGCCATTAAATGTCAATATGTTTATAATTTGTACAATATAATTTTTATAATGCATTTTACAACAATAAACTAGCTGTCGGTGTATTTGATTAAAAGTGCTTAGTGTCGTCTATAGATAAAAATACTATTAGGATCATATAATAAACTGGAATATCCATGATAACACTCATGTGTTGCCATTCTCGAGAACTAAGAAATTTTAATGCCTTTGTTTTTTTTCTACCACATTCTCTTTGAACATAAACAGAGCGACACAGACTGCTGCATGGTATCAGAAATACGATCAGTGCAAAGATATTCGTTTAAATAATCGCAATACCTCTTATTACGGTGTTAAAATAGTTAAAATTGTATGTTTGTGTGATATTGGAGAATGAAATAAATAAATTTAATTCAATTTGTAATAACTTAATAGGAGTCTGTTTATCCTATCAATCGACGTGGAAGTTTCAGTCTTTGATCAATTAATTACCATATAATACTTCGTTATAGAAACACGTGTTGTTACTTGAGTAATATATGTATCATAGGTATCATAGGTATTAACTGATACTAGAAACTAGACAGATACTATCGGATTTACATTAATTAAAACTAGTGTTGCCTTTTGCGGAAGGAAAAATATACTTATTGGTGGTAGAATTAAAATAAATCCAAAAATCATGTACCATAAAACTACTGAACCGATTTTAACACTTCTTTCACTTATAGAAAAGCTACATTATTAAAGAGTAACATATAGACTACACATTAATTTTCTATACTTATGCGAAGCGGGTCAGCAAAAATAAATTTAGTTTAATTTTAATAATTATTAAAGTTTACAAAATAAATCAGATACTATTCAATTTCAATAATTTAAGTTTAAGTAGGTATTTTATTATTTATTAAAATTTACATAAAATAAATGAAAGCTACTATGTCAAAATCGGTTGTCATGAAAATTATTTGCGGGCTTATATAAATGAAGGAAAAACCCAAGAACTAGGAAAAAATGTGATACATTAGCAAAATTATTAGAAGCTCGGAGTGACATCATCCATTACACGAAAAAAGCGATTCTGTGGTTTAGACGTTTTGACTAATGACTAATATAATAGTAACAAACCAAATAGTCATAGTAATAGTAATCATGTAAACTGAAAAATTAAATATAAATTAATAATGAGATTACAGGGTAGAATATACAATAAAATTGAAAGCATTAGAGACATTTAGTCTTTAAGAATTGAGGATTTCTTTTTATAATGGATGACAATGGAATGGTAACCCTGTCTGTGCAAAAGGTATGTGCTGGCCGGGTACTAGTAAGTGCTGATAGACGTTACGAAGAAGCAGGTCAGTTAGCCCATCATGATGAATATACCAGAAATTCAGCACGATGGTTTTCGGGGGGAACGACGTAGAGGTCGACCTAACAGGGTATATTGCTAGCAAGGGCTGATAGTCCACATTACAAACAATCCCTTCCTCCCAGAATTAAGGAGTACTGTATTTACATATAGGTAAAACAAAATTATGTAAACATACCTATACTTTTTGAGGTATTCCTAATTCCGCCAGTAGTCACAGTACTCAAAACTATGAAAAGAATGCTATAGTTTTATAAATAAAATATAATATTTACTTAGCAATAAATGTAATGATGTATGATAGAATTATAGCAACAAACTGTATATCAAATAATATTCAGAATTCCAGAGATAATACGTATGATAATAAGACTACACAAGAATGAAGTCAATTTAAAATAAAGTATTCCTTTGTGGGAATTCCAGAGAACACGTTTTATTTTGACCAAATTACGAATAACAAGCTGAAATTTCTTATATAATTATACTACGAATTTATTTATAATATATATAAATATAATATTTTTTTTGTCCAGATCGTCACTACTGGTACGCTCAAGCACAAGAAACTTTGCAAAAACGACTTCAGTACGCGTCTGATAAAAATCCTGTTGCTAAGTAAGTATATATTATATATTTCTAAACTTTTATTTGCTCTAAACATGATGTAGGCGTTTCTTTATGTACTCGTAATACTACGAAATAAAAAAAAAATGTTTTTAACAACTTTAAATATCTGAATTATAAATATCTATCCGGAATAATACCAGCATAAATATTAGAGAAAATTACAAACAGATTTTTTTTAAATTTTAGCTTGTGAGTGAGTTAAAAATGTCATGAAATAATTGAAGCAAGACTTTTATTTTTCTTTACTTACCATGTAAGGCCCAATTTATATTATTTCTGTATATAGGTATTATCTATGCAGGCCTGATAAAAATGACCATTACCTCGCTCTATTAGTTCGCTGGGTATTGGATATTTATTTTTGCAAATAATTATTACCTAAATTATAATTCTAATAATTTGTAATTAAATTTATACTCGCAATTCATATATATTTATTGATATATATCTTTTATTATAACATTAACTGCTTGCCTTATATTTGTGTAGTCCATGAAGACGAGGCACTGGTGACTGGGTCTTTTAAAAATATACTGCATATATATATATATATATATATATATATATATATATATATATATATATATATATATATATTCTAATAAATAAATATATAGAATATACATTATATATACTTAGTATTTAACGAAAGAACAGACAGATAGACGCTTATTGCTTCGTGTATTAAAATTTTCTGGCTACCCTTATTCTCTTGAATATTCCAAGGAATACTTAAGGGAACACCATAAATGTTAAACAACTGGCTAAGTTAGTTTCCAAGTTAGCGCAAACTTCAAATATGTTTCAGCATGATAAACGTTCTCTTAACTAAATAGTATATAGATTTAATTTACGTACCTATGTATTTGTAAATTATTATTATAATCAGCATAAAGACACATTCATAGTTCGCTCTTCGTAGAAAGAGAATATTATACTATCCTAAATACATATATGCTGTTAGATAACTATGAAATATTTATACCTCACATATAATAAAAAGGAAATGCCCTTCAATACATCGACACATACTTGCACATAATATAGACATCATCTGTCTATGAGGTAGTGACAGCCATGGATCACGCAGTTTTTGTGCGAAATGTCCGGAGCATGATATAACAGAATTGGTAAACAAGCTGACGGCCCATTTGATGAAAACCACTAACGGTCGCATATAGGCACGTACAAAGAGCAACGTAATATACAATGAAAATTTTCGTTGTTAATTTTTCATCTCTTTAACTTTATCTTTTTTTTTTTTAGACTTTGAATTGGATTTTTGCCCTTAACAAAACATTTTTGTTTAATAACATAATTATAGGTGACAAAGCGATTCTTAAAATTAAATAACTGAAAAAAGGCGTCTAAGTGGCCACATTCTAACTGATAGTAAGTGGGTAAGGTGGTCCAAACAGAAAGATTTCATTATAATCTGTATCATTATAAATTATCATATCTATGTCTACTGTTGAACATAGCCCCCCCCCCCCTGCAAAGTGGGGTTTGCCAGTAGTTGTCACGCTTGGCAGGCGTGTTAGCAACCGCAGTTAGGCTTTGGTGATGTTTTGAGAGGGTCATTGCTGCCCACCTTTCGACTATTTAGTTATCTTAGTCGCCTCTTAAGACACCCACGGGGAGTAGCCTATTCTATGGACCACACATCATCGTCATACATGATGGCCTGTTAATATAATATTTCATGTTATGTTTGAAAATTTCGAGATCGTAGTTAGGGAAACAGGATGAAAAAGATTTAAATTTCTAAAGTATATTACTAAAAGAAGTAATTAAGTTTTACGACTATGTATAAATGTTGACGAAGATTAAAATTATTATTAGACATACAATAGGCCAGTATAAGACTATTCTTCCAGCAATTAATCAAATATATTACCAGTTTGCCGGTTGCAAATCCAGTTTGCCTGCCAAGCGTGGCAACTACTGGCAAAATCCTTAAGGGGGGGGGGAAGGCTTATGTTCAGAAATGGACAGTTGAAAGTTGTTATGATGATGACAATGATTACCAGTTTATTAAACATTTCATTAGTATCTAAAAATATTAAGTGTAATTACAATAGTTGTTTGTTTTTCTTAATGGAATACATAGAATATAAGATGTATTATACGAATGATAGGTTCAGTTAATTAGGTATCTATCTAAGGCACACAAAAACATCCAAATCATGTAGCTTTGATTAACAGACAGTAATCAATCAAGCAATGATAATCAATTATAGATAAACAACGTTCTCTAGATGATTTGTGTATTTTTTCTTATTTGTAGAGTAAGTGTTGGCTTAGATTAAAGTACACGGTAACACTTATGCTGATCAAATTAGATGGATTTGTTTACGTCATAAAAGTAATTTGTTATAATTTACAGCGAAGACAAAGTTTGTGGTGCGGATGGCTGTAAACAAAGTTACCTTTCAATTCTTTTATACATTTAGTCGTAGAAATCAGTTGTAGCACAATAGCTACACAGGTGAAATAATAGATATATTTCTTATATTATTTACTTTGCGATTCTATTAGTGATTCCGTGTGATAGCTTTTGTATTTTATAAGCATACATGCTCCGCTTGACATAAACGATCGTTTACTATATATTCACTTCGATACAGAAGGGGATTTCTATAGGAAAGCATTACAGTTAATTTAAATAGCTAAAAAACTTATGTGAAGCATGTGAAGAAGAAGACTTATGTGAATATTATTGTTTTTGTTAATTAGCATGCTGTGTTTCCTTTAAAATGATTGTACACTAAGTATAAATAGACGGTAATTTAAATATTAAATCTTATCAGTGTAACAATTACTAGGAGACCAAATAAAGATAAAATAAAATAAAAATAAAATATTCATGCCAAGGCCATTCAAAACGATTGAAAGCTAGCAGAGAAAATTAATTACAAAGTTATTTATTTACCTGAATAGCTCATCTTATAATAAATATCTTCTAGGGCCTAGTCATAGCCTAATGTATTTTTTTTTTATATTTGAAGGTACAATCTAGCTAAATCCAACAAGTTCAATTTTCTATTACTAATTTAGTAATTGGATTCTTAGTATCCTACTTGCTTGGAATATTAATATTGCTTGTCGTTTTCTAATTTATATGTTACACTTTAGGAACATCATCTTAGTAGTGGGAGACGGTATGAGCTTGACTACTACAACAGCAGCCAGGATTCTCAGGGGACAGCGAAGAGGACAATCTGGTGAAGACACCGACCTTGTATGGGACACGTTTCCTGCTGTTGCGCTGGCTAAGGTACTATTATGTTTAAGTATTCATTATACAAATACACAAAAACATACAACATACATACACACGCGTACGTTGCACTCCAGACCCACTCCATAACTCAGTTATTATCATAGATATAGTATAACATGCTTAGTTATATTTTTTTAAATTATTTTTTTAATCACTTTTAATAAAAATACATCTGAATATGGAATTTTACATACTACATTTTACATACTCTTTGTTACAGACAAGGTGTCATAACGTTTGTTAGACTAAAATATATAAAATTCTTTTGATGTTACGAAAATGCTAAAATCTGAGGTTCATCAAAATGACAGTTATTGACGTTATTGATTTTTCCACCCTTACCGACGATGTAGGCTCAGACATCAGGAACTCTATAAGCAGTTGTAAAATTATATGAAATAAATACTATTATTATTTTATCAAATAGTATTAACAGCAAATATTTGTCACGTCCTCGCAGGTTGGTAATATATTCATACGGATCCCTGTCAGGTGTTAGATTGTAAACAAAATTTATCTATGGTCACAGAAGGATAACGTCTCTCACATATATAAACTTACATAATATAATATGAAATATTTTATGCTTAAGACAATTTATGAGGGGTCACACTCTAATGCTGGCATTGTCTAAAATATCTATCCAATTTATACCTAATAAAAACTTCAAATTTCTAGTATTCAAAGATAGTATACACTAAACACGTTACAAAATGGCATTATTAGTGTTCAACATTATATTGAATAGCCATTGAACGCCCGATATATCCTCATTTGTTATACGAATCATTCAATTTGTCTTATTAAATATTTGGCACTAATTATAACTGTAGTTAAGTTTTCTTTTTCCAAAAATCTTTTTCTTCTAATTTTGCTATTCTAATAATTATTATTTTCAGAAAAAAATAATAATTACGAATTATTTGTCTATAATTTTGGCACAATGCTAGCAAACTTAAAGACATTGTTAATCTTACGGTTGTAGACTGACAACATTATTATAAAATTTTGATGCTATAATTATGTTTAGAAAATTACAACCACTGATGACAAATAGGTAGATATAATCTCTAACAATTATAACTTTATGAAACAATAATTATATAGGATACATTACCTACCTAATACGAAAATATCTTGTCAACCAATTTTAATGCTAAAGGAAAGGTATGAGGAAACTTTTATTATAAAGTAATTGAAAAGTGACATAAACATAATGCTTCACATCAAATTAAACTTTGGGTTGTGACGAAAAGTCTGTTACGTTATTATATTTTGATCTAAATGACTTCCTTCATGGACCTCTTCAAAAAGTTATCAAATTCTATTTTAATAATAATTACATATACAAAGATAAAATAAACGTGCCGGCGTCGATGAAAATAATGTGAAAGTTTTGATTAGAATCAAAAATTGTATGCCACAATGCGAAATGTACTTTATTAATTATTATGAAATATCGTCTAAGCAAGGAATATACCAAGGTGAAACAAATTAATTTATAGAATGATAAGCGACTCGTCCTGGATTTGCACGGATGTAAATTTGAAAACAAACTTGTTTGCCATATGTACAATATACATAATAATTAATTATGTATATTATACATATAGCAATACTTCTATCTCAATATTCTTAAAACAAAAAAAATGTGAAAGTAAATAATATTATATCATCATGTAAGATTTAAATAAAAATAAATTAGGATTTCTACATAAACATTGCGTTAAAAATATTCCAAGGACAGTGAAACTCCTATCAAAATACAAAGAAACACAGATTGGACGGCTAATTTCTATTATACAATTTAGTACGTGTATAAATATATTTTGAAATTTCCTTTTCCTTGCTTGTTCGTATCTCTGTATAGAATTTTTTTTTACAACACAGTGGGCAAACGAGCATGCGGTTCACCTGGTGGTAAGTGACTACCGCTGTCCATGATCACCCACAACACTAACGGCATTGCAGGTGTGCTGCCGGTCTTTTAAAAAGAAATATACTTTTTTCTTAAAGGTTATGTTGTCGTATCGGTTCGGAAATACTGCTGCTGGAGGTTGATTCCAAAGAGTGGTTGTGCGTGGAAGAAACTGTCTTGAAAAACGCACGGTGGAGGACCGCCACTCGTCCAGATGGTTGGGATGAAATTTTAGTTTATGTCGGGTTGTACGAAGGTGAAAATCAGCAGCAGGTATCAATCTGAACAATTCTTCAGAGCACTCCCCATGATAAATTACACTTATTATATAGATTATATTATAGAAGATGCACAGAGATGCAACATCTCTACGCAGTTTCAGTGGGTTGAACCGGACAGCAAGGCGCCAATCGTTTTTCTCCATATTTTGTAAAAGTCAAATCTGTTAATTTTTTTTTCGATACCTTCATTGACCTTAAAACATACTCTACCGGTTGATAGACTTGACATTAAGAGTGTTCTCTCTCAACCTAATGTATACTGCTTACAACTTACTTATATGAACATTAAGAAAAAAAAATGTTTACCCTAATGTTCAACCATTATAGGCAACAAATAGATTTAATGCCCTAAGTTAAGTACCTATTATTTAGAATACGCTAACCACCCCTATTTGTCGGGCCTCTTCACGCACAATCTTCAACAATTTCCGCTAATCACCAGAACGATCCGTTTACACAAATGCACATAATTATTTAATTGAACAATAGGCGACGGGGTTAGTTCTTTCCATTAGATGGACCGTTAGTTTATTTGCCATCTATGTTGCATAAAAGAAGATAAAGAAATTCACGAAAAGTTTTTACCATTGCTCAAATGTTACAGAGTGCGGAGACATAATATATTAGTTCTCTGATATGGTAACGCATGACAATATACGGTTTACCATTCCAAGTTACACAATAAATATGACCATACTAAATCCAAACATAACCTATAAGTATTAAAAGTTGTCATGTTGCGTAAATACTGTAATTGAATTGTTATAATAAATCAATAAATAAAAAAAAATAAGCACATAAAATTTTCTAATGTTATAACATGCCTATAAGTATATCTTTGTCGAAATGCCAAAAACTGATCATATCGTTATATCAGCCGTTGACCGTCCACTGCTATACATAGGCCTTCCCCTTGTGTGTGTGTGTGTGTGTGGGGGGGGGGGGATTGCCAGTAGTTGCCACGCTTGACAGGCAGGTTGATAGTATACATTATTAATATCTCACTCATTCCCTTTTTCTACCTTAACTAGCTATTTCCCTTGGCTTTGCCCGCATGTATCAGTATAATTCTATATCAGTACTCGTAAAATATCTTATCTACTAAATTTTTTCCTATTCTTGTACCAAATTTTTGCGTGAAAGGGTTACAAACATCTATCCATTCATTCTCACAAACTTTCGCAATTACAATAATAATAGACTTAAAAGTTTATAAAATAGTTGTTTGTATTAAAAAATGGTTCTTTTTTTCTCTTTGAACATTCTAAGCTGTTATTTAATATATTTCAATACCAAGTGTCAAAACTTATTAACTACTGATTTGTATAAAAAAGTGTTTACCAATCATTAAAATGTCAAATTTATTTTAAAATAGCTATGAACTTTATAAATTTATAAGCGAAACACTTCTGATATTTTTTTTGTAATTTAACAGGCTGATTGATATTTTTATTTAAATCTTGTTATTAAATTTCGTAATCGCAATAATGTACGATGAAACATACGTTATTTTTTCTGATAAAATCGTACCTAGTAATATATATGTTTATTTGTATGCAGATTCATTATTATGATTACTAATTTAGAAACTGAGTTTACATGGTAAATTATTATTATTAGAATAATTTCCGTATTGATTGCAAATCAAGTAAAAATAGGAGTCGGCTTTGTTATGAATTAAATTTAAATCATATAATAGTTAATAATAATATTGTAAGACTGATTTTTATCAAACAAAATTAAATATGTGAAATACACAATTACTATGTAAATGATAGTAACCTATAATATAATATAAAAATCTTACTAATAGTAATAGGCAGGCTGCACGAAAAATAGAGTAAAAACATTTACCCTAGTAACCTTGTGCACACTTATCTCTATAAGTAGCACCCATTCACGAGTATGACGAATGAGGAAACCCTCGTTGCGTTTAACCTAATTTAGGGAACTCAATAACCCAGCCCATTCCATTGCTTCCGACCTATACATTAGGTAGCTACGATCACTCAAGTCACTTGACTACTTTTGATGGCGTAATCGCCGAGGATTGCAAGCTGTAATTTTATACTGGTCGGAGACCCACTTAAACCTCGAAACCTTATTCTTCAATATAAAACTTTTCTGTCGATCCCTCGAATTCAATTCCATCTATGGACAAGTTTTTATTTTTTCTCCAAATCGATACGACTTCCTTGATTTTAACTTAGACGCTAATTTATGTCGTTTTTTCATACGTCTTGTTACAAAGTGAATGACGAAAAGCAAAAAAAAGCCTTTTCCTGCTACGTTTAACTTCTCTTACTTTTTACTACTTTCATTGATATGTGTTATTGTATTTACAAACCGCAGTACAATTTTTAATGTCAAAACTGTCGATCAATATTAGCCAAGTATTTTCATGCCCATTTCACTTTTCTGTTCCAATATCTTCATTGGTTTTTAGCCAACTTCATAAAATGAAAATTCGTTTCGACTTTTTGTTTCCATGGATCGCAAATGTATAAAATTTATAAGCAAAAAAATATATTGATAATTATCAGTTATTCTGTATCTTGGTTATGTGTGTATACAATTTAATGAACCTTTATTTTAAATGATAAAGTTTATGAATATTTCATGATACTCTTTTTTGCATTTTTATTGTTCTTTAAATACAAAAAAATATGGAATTAGTTTTTCTAGTCTCCTTTTACTACGACACCCACGAGCAAAAATGGATTAAAATATCATTTCACAAGAAAAGAAAAACCTTAAGTTTTTAAATATCGTCCAAGAATATTTTCATTCGCAACAAAAATCTAACTTGAATTTTAATGAAATTAGTAAGAAACCAACGCATTTATTAAAAAAGAAAAAGAATTATTAAAATTAGTTCGTTAGAATTGGCAAAAATATCATAACATAATAAACAGGAAATATTGAGAAAGGCTCCACTCTTTTTAAGTAAAAAATTCTTATTTCGTTTGATTTTTTCTTAAGTGCCTTTTTTACGCGATTATATTAATGTGCAGCTACATATATGTGTACGTGCACATAATCGTGTATATGTATATGTAATTGAAGTCTTTATGGAGTAAAATGTTGTTCAAGTTTATTATCTATAAAAAGTTACATGGAACGTATAGGTTGCAACGTGGGCTATTTATTACAGTCATTACACGTTCCAATAGCAAACTTTGGAAATATTATCAAAACACACGGCAAACGAAACTTTATTCTATGATAACATAACTATATTGCTGCGACGTGCAAAATGATCATAATTCTTTGAAACATCTAGTTTTGTAAACTTTAGAAGTAGAAATCCTACTAATATTATATATGTAAAAATATTTAAAGATGTTTGGATATTTGAATGTTCATAACTTAATTACGATTAAACGGCTGAACAGATTGGGATGAAATTTAGCATACGTGTAGGTTGCCATCATCATATCAGCCATTAACTGTCATAACATAGACTTCCCCTACAAGGGGGATTTTGCCAGTAATTGCCACACTTGGCAGGCGGTTTGGCAAACGAAAAGGATTTGTTGATGTTTAAAAAGGGGCACTACTGTCCATCTCTCGACCAATAAGTTCCCTTAATCGCCTCTCACGAAAACCACGGGAATAGACATGAGAGCCCATTATATACCAGGACCACACAATAAGCATGTTGTAGATTATATTCAAACTAAATACAAGTATTGAAAACAATTAGTAACAATAAAAATGAAACTGATAAAATGGTTGACGGGTAAAGAACGCCTTTACATGTTATGTCCGCAATGTGTACCTTTGTTATGTACATGAAGTTAAATAAATAAAACATAAAAGTATTTACAGCATAATATATAGTACTAGAACTTATCCAATATCATCCTGTCTGTACACAGGCGACAGACAAATAGGTGAGCCACGATATTCTAATCAGTTTTATACTACGCCTATTCCGAAAAGACTACTTTCTTTCTTGGAAACAGAGTACATCTTTTTTTATTTAAATTAAAATAAACAAGTAGAAAAGAAAGTAACGTGATTATCTGGCTTAATATTATTGTATATTATTAGTAAGTATATACGGCTTTCGCCTCAGTCTCTCAACTGATGATCTCCTGGTATTTCTCACACACTGATGGACTTCAGTCATCGAGAGTCAAGAGGAGGCATTCGCTGTCAGTCTTGATATTGCAAAGGCATTTGACATGATCTGACCTCGTGGTTTTCTATCGAAATTACGCTATTACAGACTTTCCGAGACCCTTTGTATAAAAACCGTCGCAGATGGTTACTGCAGACTCTGATATGCCCAACGCTGATTCTGCTACATTTTAATGATATGTTAACCTTAGGTGACATTCATTTTTTACACGAATGACAGCACTAGAGATGTCCATTATACGATTCATACTAATATCTTTCCTTCTTTTGTGAAAGGCAATCGTGAATAACTTGTATATCAAATAGAGAGAACGTTAGCTAAGATAATTGGGGACGACAAAACATAGTCAAGTGTAACCCCCTAAGACACAAGCTTTGTGCATTCACCGCAAAAAAAGAACTATTTGCTGTGACTCCATAATTTCAGGGCACGTCCATCTGTAAGGACATTGGGATCTTTAGTATCGACTCTATCTAATCTCTAGTGGTAATTAGATAATTAGCTTGACCCCTTCGACTTAGTGCAACTACGAGCTATGAAAATTGTCGATTGTCCCATGCTTAAAAACAGTACCAAACCCTTAAATATTAGGAGAAATTTTGCCTCACTCTGCATGTTCTAACGCTTGTAAAAAGATCTGTGTTCAGAGGAGCTGTATAATATGATTCCCACGGCAACTTTTTGTCATCGTACAGCTCGCTATCGACAAAATTAACTCCCATACCATAGAGTCTGGATGGTCGCATACAGCGCGGTTTCAGAGATATTTCCTCACACGAGCGCTCAAATTATAGCATGAGCTCTCTGTTGAGAGTTTTCCAAGATATTGTAGCATGAGGTTTTCCAAAAAAAGGGTCAAAGAGCTTTCTTCAGTGTGGACAACGTGCGCGTAATGCTCCTTGCTACTTGCAGGCGTTCATAGACTACGATAATTGTTTATCATCTGGTGGGTCGTAAGTTTGTTTGCTACTTCATTGGTATAAAAATTCTGAAATTCCGTTATTCACCTGTTTTTGTTATATTTTCTAAACTTGTATGCAGTTGCTAAACTTGGAAATGCAGTTTATTCTGCCAAAATTACTTAAATCAGTAATAATTGTGCGTATGTTTACAATAATATATAATTACAACTATAACTCTTAATAGGACAATCAGAGCCATTTGTCACTATTGTGAGTTCGAAATGTAACAATTCTTCAGTAATTTTGGTTCTTGTTTTAAAAAGCGAATTTACTTTTAAAATTCAATTCTCTCCAAGTGTCACTGACTCAGTAATGCGAGAATGCATTCGTGTCGCAATATGTAACATCCATGACACCGACACGAGATGTTTAAGCCCCTTGTGTTTGAGATTGACGTAACATTACTTCACACCAAAATGCAATAAAGTGCGCATTTGTTGTTTCTCTAAAAAAGAGCTCAACTAAAATGGTAGTGTTCACTTAAAATTGGGGAGGAAATATCTGAACGTCGTTAGAAAATAAATATTTGAACGCTTACATAAAAAGAAAAATATGTCTACATAGGTAGATTTCTACAGACGAAAGTTGTATTTTTTTTAATTTGTGTCAAGGCTTTTGTGTCCTTATTATTGTTTTCAAATAAAATCGATAACCCCATTTTTCGCCTGAAATTAAAATCAGTCAAAATTTAACTTTTCCAGGTACTTAAATTTAATTAAAATACTTCTCAGTTTATTTTATTAATGGATTATCTGTTTTCCACGGTTTGCCTGCGTATATAAAGAATATAATCTATTAATTTAGGATATTACCTACCCGTTATCAAATTTAAATCCGCATAATCTTTTAAGCGTAATTGAAAAACAAAAATACAAATATTTAAAAAAAAATTTACATCATCACACATCATTGTAGCTGTTAACTGTCCACTGTTGAACATAGGCCTTCTCCATAAGAATGATTTTGCCGGTAGTTGTCACGTTTATAGTGCGGGTTGCCAACCACAGGCTTTGGTGACGTTTTAAGAGGGATGCCAAAACAATTATTAGCTCCTATTGATAAATACTAACACTAGTTTTAAAAAATGGGTTACGTTACTTAACTTACTGTATATAAATGTATAAATTAAAAAATGTATTTTATATAAGTATATAAGATGATAACAATATGCCGGAAATCACATACAATAACTACGCATAATATAAAATTTATAAACCCATATGAAAGTCGTTTAAAGTACTTTCTAAAACATGAAAATGTACTCAGTAAAAGAGTAAAAATAACACTGGGAAAACTCAATTTTTTATTCACACATCTTATAAAAACAGTGTCTATATATGTATGTCGCGATGGATTATACTTTGGTAAGGAGTCTCATCGTAATTGTCTTAGTTTAGTAGTAAATTATCTCCAACAATCTACTTATTTGTTAGTAACGTAACTATCTATAATGTAATTACTGGATAGATCCAATATGGCCAGTTAGTAGGTAATAAGTTTGTTTATATATAGTATGTAGATAATAATCAATAGATATTTCTGGTTACTTTTTAAGAAATTAAAGTCGTGAACAAGGTTGGGATGAACGGACATCGTGACACGAGATTGTTATATACTAAAATATATTAAAAAAGAAAACTAGAAAACTAATGGACATAATGAATTTATCTTTATGATAAATAAGAATTACAGTACAATAAATCGTTCACTTTCTCCCTTTAAATTCTGTAAATAGCTTTCCCTGTAAAAAGACATCGTCACAAAAGACTGTTGATGTCGATAAAATCCATCAACCCGAACTTTTGAATTTTCTCCGTCACCTTTTAGTTATTCTATCTTATTTCAGAACACATTTTTTGATTATATTAAAAGTTCAAAGTTAACCTACATTATGATAATCTTAAAAGGTTAGAAGTTTATCCCGTATCTATGCAATATTTATTTTGTATACCAAATCCTTGAGTACAAATTTGATGTTTGTATTGAATTGAAATGCAAATTAGTTTAGTACTTAAACAGCAAAAACCTAATATTCTCATTATCTCAGCCAGGCCATCTGTTTCAATAATTTATAGTCTAATTTAAATCCTCAAGAAACTAAACACGATATATTAGACGAAAACTACGTAACTCTCGTTCTTGATGATTAAATAATTTAGCCATTATCAGCCTTGGCTTAACCACATATGAAATGATGGATAACTGTGATTATATTGTCCACAGACTTATAATCTGGACGCACAGACTGGCGAATCCTCTGCGTGTGCTACTGCTCTGTTATGCGGAGTAAAAGCACGATACGAAACATTAGGCTTGGACGCTGGAGGTCGGTTCAATAACTGTGCTTCTACCATAGACTCTAAAGTCACTTCGCTAATCGATTGGGCTCATGAAGCTGGTGAGTACTTTGTGATTATTATATAGGCAATACAAATATAACTTTACCATGAATACAACGCATAAAAAATCGTGCTATTGTCTGTAAATAATTAATGGAATTGATTATTCAATATTAAACATCGATTGACTGTTACTGTTATGTAGAACGTAACTTTCGACATGCTCACATTTTGTCGAGTATATTTGAAATTAAAATCCTATGTGGCAAAGTGCGAACCCACACAGTACAGTCTCTCGGATCGAAATTAGTCGCTATTAACAATAATACTATAATATAAAAAAAGCTCTGTAATATAATTATAAATAAAAAAAATATTATGACAATATTTTTAAAATATTAAGAAAACACCCCTTTTTTAATCAATGCCAAACTGGATCACAGAGGGCGAATGAAATTATTGGATTGTTGAATAGACTTATATTGTTTAATTCCACTACCATTGGTATGCATGCGAGTGCCAATATTTAATAACTGATTATTATTATTTGGCATTCCATTGTTTTTGCCTACTCTAATAGAAGATAGGCATGAATGTATGTATGAATTCTAAAATTTTCGACCAACATACTTCTCAATCTGGGTGCCAATGGTCAACACTAGGTTCTGTGAAGCGATATATTTAATTTCCTCATGATGCCTCGATTAGAGATGGAAAACGTGTCGCAACATGTGCGAAAAGTGAATAAAGGTCAGAGGTTAATGAATAATGTGGAAGGTTGTAGAACTTTTAATAAAAATAACAAATTTTTAAATATTAACATACACGCAATAGGTGTACAATTTCTAGCGGAATTAAACAAAATAAATTGAATGAAATAACTACTGTTATAGACTTCCGCAAAATAACACCTAGTTCAGTAGAATAAAATTATGTCTAAAAGTCAATTAAAATAATTTGATACCTGATTGTATTATTACTTATAATTAGGTTTATCTTCTGTAACATTACTGTAATATTTGCAATCAATACTAATAACTAATGACTAGAGGGTAAAGAAAAATTAAATAAGCTGAAGGCGTCTGGCCAAAAGTAAAGCAACCTAATTGCCCATAAAGGAAATAATTATTGTCTAAAAAGAGCACATTATTTGGCAACAAAAATACATGAATTCGAAGAAATGGTTGTAGACTAAATGAATAGGAACAAGCAGTGATTCTTAAAAAAAGAAAACACTCCAGTTAGGCCTTTTTTCTTTTAATTGTAATAAATATGGTATTGTATTATTACACTTTCATAATTACGAGTATGTAAAGATTATTTGCTAACAGTATTGACTAAGTTTAAAAAAAATATCAAGTAAAAAAATTGTGTAGTTTATAGACTTCTTAGAAATATTTATAAGATATTTGAATGTTTTATATATTATATAATATAGTAAGTTCTAATGTAGCACTAAGTTACGTCGCTTCGTTTTACGCGAAAAAAAAAACTAGTTTTTCATACTAGGTATTTAAGGAAAATAACTTTCCTTAATTGGCTCGGGTCTATTCTGAGTTTCCAGACACGTCTGGCTTATCTTAGCATTAAGGGTATAAGTTTGAGAACTGGGTAATTGGTAGGATCATGTGTTGGATAGTACCTTATGAAATAATATGAAGCATTTGTTTCTACAATAAAAATTATTGTTTAGGTAGTGACGACGTAAGAATCAATGGTTAACATTTATTAAATTATGTTATTATTTATACAGGTAAATCTAGTGGTATAGTGACTACTGCAAGAGTCACACACGCTACTCCTGCAGCTTTATACGCACACGCTCCCTCAAGGTATTGGGAGGATGACAGTAGAGTACCACCAAATGTAAGAAAGGATTGCAAGGATATTGCAATGCAGTTAGTGGAAAACGAACCTGGGAAGCATATAAATGTAAGCATTATTTACTGTTGATTATTAACTACGAATATTAATAAAAATAGTGACTGGTAAAAGCTTGAACTGTCACATAAATCTATTAAGCATTTTATCCACCGAGTGAAAATTGGCGTCTCTCCAAATGCGTGATTTAGAAAACTTTGGTACTTATAATAAGAGAATAACTTGGATAAGGATTTAGCGGTTTAAAAAAAACTAATAAAGTTAGATTGTAGTGTAAAAAAACTAATTATTATATGCCAGTCGTCAAATTATACAATTTGTAATTATCTGTGAAGTTTCAACGTTATATTTCTTATAATATCACATTCTAATTGTATGGAATAAATTGTATTGACATAAAGGGCTTGTAACATACAATTGCAGTTGTACCTGTTTGTATTTTGTTAAAAGAGAGACTGGCTGGACACTAGCGCTGTACATATTGCATTGGGACACACACAGCATCATCTGAGCCTCTTGTTTAATATGAGTCACTGAACATATATAACACTTCTGTATTTTCTCTTGTAACTATGCGTTTTTCTAGAAATAAATATTTTCTATTCTATTCTATGTCTACTTAATGTAGATTATAAACGATAAGCAATTTATAAAGATTTTATCAGATCTAAAGAAGTAAGTACCAATTATACAGAATGAGTCTTGTTATGGAAATGAGAGATATCACAGTTATAATTAAAAGCGATCCACATTTGAATAACCTGGTATAATAATATAAATGTAATGTAATATAAATAATTAGAACGAAGATATTAAAAACAGATATTGCAGTTAATGTCAAGATCTCCACTAATATTATTTCATGGAATTAATTTATTTTTTATCGTTGTATTGTTTACACATTGAAGTAACTTATGAATAAAAGATATCTACGTTTTTTCTTTTCTTTTTTAAAGCTTTTTAAACTCGTGACTCTTTCAAATACGGTGTCGTGATTTTTTTATGTCGCTAGAAATAAGATTTTTGTTTATCTTAAAATACAAACAAGTCATCAATCCACTTTATGAAAAGTGGTAACTGTCTCTTAAAAAACATAAACAGTACGATAGATATCACAGAAAACATTATTATAATCTTAATATCCCTCATACTCCTGAGAACTAAGATGTAGATTACTCTATTATTTTTTATTGAAATAAGTTAATTTTAATAACCATAAAGTAAAATAACATGATAATTATGATGACATTTTGCTAAATAATATATTATCTCTAGCTATAAATTTATAACTATAGATAAGTAAGAAAAATCCAAATTGTAGGTTCAAAGTACTAAACAAGTATTTAGTAAAGTGGACAAGTTTCCTAAATGTGATCCTAAGTTGAGTTGTAGTTATTCGCTAAGTTTCTGATGTGCAAAGTGACATCGCTTTGTTTACACAGGTGCACAAGATGTTTTAGAGACAGGTGTTGTGTTATGTTCTTCCATTACACGTGTGAAATTTTCAGATTATTATACGCCTCTGGAGCCATTAATGGCAGCTGCACAATTTTAAATATTGTGTTTTAAAATAAAACATTGGGATTTATAAACCCAGAATTATTAATTGTTATCGTAATACCTGAGTAGTATTTATTTTATAGTTGGTTACTTTATACTAGAAAAAATCCTTTTTTCATTTCTTATAACAGTTTCTTCGTAAAAGTTAGGAAAAATTGCGATTCTTAATAAAACTGTCTACAAAGATAACGAAATAAAACAGTAAGTTTTTATATCTTTGTGCCTGTGACATTTTGTATTACCATATTATCCCTTTGCTTTATATAGCATTTTTTTATACTTATTTACTACTTATTAAAAACAATCTTTATGTTATTTTAAAATATAATCATATTTTTAAGCAAATTAAGTTTCAGAACAAAATTTTATGATACCTGATTCAAAGGATTTAGTTTATTATAAAAGCGTTACAGATAATCACAAAGTAACTTTTTTTTCTAATTATACTAATGTAATAAAAATACTTTTATTAAAAATTTACTTTTATTTTACTAGTACTTTAAACATATAAAAATAGTAATATTATAAGTATATAATATTTCGACTTGACTCACGAGGCCATCGAAAAGTGGGGGTGATGCTCACTGAAATCATGCCAGTGGTTCTGTAGGTGAACGGTCTTATTTCAACCAGTCTCGAACAATACTTCAGACGGTTGTGATTCCTAGGTGGCTCACTCCCGGGAAAGATGCAGAATGTGCTGTTGGATACTGCCCGCATAGTACGCCGGTTACTCGCTCTGGCCATGAATCCCGACCGATTGTGATTCTGCCGGGGCTTGAGAGGAGAGATACGAAATTTGTAAAAAAAAAAATAAACATATGATAAATAGGAAAGATTTCATTGATAGTTTGTAATGGATAAACTCAAAAACTACTTAATTGGTTTAAATATTTTTTTTATTACCATAGAAAATTTACGAATATATAAATTTTATCAATTCTACTACACTTCGTCATGCTAAAAATCGTGTATTTTATGGAATACTCTATAAAACAAAATTTTTTAGGTAATTATGGGTGGAGGTAGGCGACATTTTCTACCAACCATAACTCCAGATCCCGAACATCCAAACCGCGAAGGCAGGAGATTAGATGGACGAAACCTTGCCGAAGATTGGGCCAGAGAAAAGAAGAGGCGGCGGTTACGTGCACAGTACATACATTCACGTGAACAGCTAGCCAAGTTGGATCCAAGATCCGTGGACTACTTGTTAGGTAAGGAATAATTAATTATAAAACTAATAAAATGTAATTTAACATTTAAATTGAAATTGTTATATGTATATTAGTTACATATCAATTAAATTTTGCTATATCCAAACAAGGTTCATGTTTTTCGTGTACTTTATATTATGTACACGAATGCATTAAATAAATAAAATTCACATATATTTAAAAGTAAAATAGATAGATTACTCTAAAACTTGGCACTGAGAAATATAAACTGTTGCCGTAACATTCATCTTTCCCATTTTTCGATCCTACGACCACATTAATAATCACTATGGCAGAGTATGAGCCTACCGATGTCACTCGGGTCAAATCAGTATCTTATCGGTGTTTTCTATCACAGGTTTTGGGTGTCACCCAAATTCAAACTTACAACCTTTACGGTCTATAAATTGTGGTAGTAAAATTGGGTTAAGACGTTCTCAGAAATACTTTAATAAATTTACATAAAGAATACTAATTAAATTAAAAACTATATTATTTTTTAAATTTCTGTTGATTTGTAGGCATAAACTTTATACCAATAAATATTTATTATTAATATACTGATATCAATAGTATATTATTATTACAAGCGCGAGTATTCATCAAGAACATTTGTAAAAGTTCGAAACATTATGTATTCGAGCATTATATCATACAAAGGAATACGTTAACGTTACAATACGTTAATTACATTTATTCCTTGTTAAATAACATAAGTATGTTCGTAGTCTATTTTCAAAATAATGCTATTGTTAGAATATTATTTCATAAGATACTGTTTTGCGTTACAATTATATACTAATTATTTTATTAAAATCTTGTAATGAAAATCATACGAGTTTTACTGATGTGTTGTGAGGTTCCGTTTCTTCAACATAAATAGGCAGTTAACTGTCTTGATGTTTTTATTATTATTTTATATCAGTCCACTGTTGTATATAGGCTTCTCCCATAAGGGGATTTTATTATTTAGGGAATATCTTAAAAATTGATGTGATTTGTACATCCCGTGTACAGAATTCTAAATTCTGTTTCACCTTTTTTTAAATAAGTGTACCTAAGCAGCACATCATTAAAGAAATAGGATCCTTTGTGCTTTTGTTGAGTTTTGTTAAAGGGTTAAAGCTTACTCAGCAATTTAAGTATAAAACGGGTTTCTGTAAGTTCACAGTTTACTTTGTATAGAATAAAAAATTACCATTAGCAATCCTTTTTTCTTCAAATATCCTTCTCAAACTAAAACTTTTGTATAAATAATAATTTATATTAAATAAAATTATATTTCTTATCGATGAAAGAGTGTAAATAAGTTTATTTAAGTATTCACAATTATACAGATTTAAAGTAGGTTTGCCTGATATACGTACTCTTTATTATTTTTTTTAATAAAATAACCTATTAAATGCGAAACTTAAAAGATCTACGAGTATTTATTTTCACTTTAGAAATCTTATTAAAACCACAAAAACTTTTAATTATTTTCAGCCATTGATCAACGATAGTTTGGTGTATATGTTTTCGTTATCTAGTTCTTTATACAAATCTTTAACTACATTTGTTCAGGACTTCGTAAGCAAAGTTACATAAAATGTTAATTGAATTCAGGAGTAACAAAAAATAAAAAGTAGAGCAAAAGAAATCGCCCCTTAACTTAGTTCAAACAAAAATCCCTTACAAAAAAGCCCTGAGGTTTTGAAAGAAACCTTTTTTTAATTCAGCCAACATGACGCTCCACGTCCGTTTGTTAATTTGAGTTCGTAGCGTCATAAAATTTCTAAAAGTTTGCCGAGTCTAAGGTTTTTTAATTCATTTCATATGTACTGATAAACTGTTTTGTGTATAATAATTTCAAAAGAACAAATTATGAAATGCAATTGTTCTATTTTTAAAATTTGTATATTTTTTTACATTATATCGTAGATAGAATTCAGCATAGTAACAATATTGACATTTCGTATGGTTGTAACACAAGAATGACAGAAAAGGCGACAGATAAAAAAATGTTTTTTGGCGTCGCCACTGTGTCTGCTGTTGTACCTACTACTACCTTTGTACAATCAACGTGAATAAAATACATATAACAACTCATTCTTCTTTTGTGGGTATTTTGCCGGAAGCCAAACTGTTTTGTTTTAGATCTTCCCATTCGCATGTTGGAATGTTTAATTTTACTGAGTCTATTACATTTTCTGAGTTTACATTATAATAATCAAAACGGTTCCCCTTTGTAATTCCCGTTTAAAATCCTTTTTAATCTGACCCAGGCTACACTGAATTAGAATTGTAAATATCATGGATTAGCAGATAGTACCTACTTACATTTCTGAAATTACAACAGTAAACGTAAGAGGTCAGCAATTCAGACATAACTTTCTTGTTTTGGATTATCTTCAATTAAATTTGTTGTGGGCTTTTCTTTGAATTCTATTTGCCGATATCTGTGTATTATATATCTGATTACATAACTTTGTAAAAATTCATAGACTAAATTAAATTATTTAGTAACTATTAAAGTTAACTATTAAACGCTAGTGAAGCGTCAGTTTTTATATTTCTAATAATTTATAGTCTGCAATTGATACAACATAAACATGAATACAAAACATATGTATATGTGAATGTATTATTGCAAATTTTAATATGTAAATATGTAATAGTGTTATTATTATGTTGTATTTGTAATCAATTATTTGACAGGTTTATTTGAATATTCTCATATGGAATTTAATGCGGAGCGTGGTGCGGTAGCGGATGCGGAAGAGGGCACGTCTGCCGGAACATCGGTTAAAGCTGATGACCCATCCTTGGCGGATATGACTCGCGCTGCATTGTCGATATTGCTGAAAAATGAAAAGGGATTTTTTTTACTAATTGAAGGTATTAAAATATTTAAATTTAGAATTTTTCATTTAAAAATATTTTCACATTTAAGCACAAAAATAAATAATTTTAACGTACTTAGGTTGACTTTACAAATGCAAATCGGACAAATAAAATATATTAATAATTGAATTTTTTTGGAATTAGCATAACAAAATATAATAAATAATTACATAAACAAGACTTTAGAATATTAATTATATTATAAATGGTTTTTTATGTACAAAAAAGTTCATTTTATTTATTCACACATTCAATGTCTTCAAAGCATTAATTCAACATTTCTGCGCAAAGTATCATTGCTCATGTAAAATTCATGCCATAAATACAGTAGTAACTTTTTATGGCGCCTTAATTTCTTAAAGACGGCGAAAATCACAATTACAATGTTATATTTTTTGCAGGTGGTCGCATAGACCATGCTCATCATTATAATAATCCGTACAGAGCTTTGGATGAAACTCTAGAGTTGGAAACGGCTCTTTTGGCTGCTTTAGAAAAGGTTAATCCCACTGAAACTCTAATAGTGGTCACAGCTGATCACGGACATGTCATGACTTTTGGTGGCCAAGCTACACCCAGGGGCCATCCAGTGCTAGGTTAGTTTTCGTTTTTATTTAACAATACACCATACATCAATAAGGAAGTCTTTAGAAAATTTCACTTAAATATGACGATTTGTTGAATCTCAAAACAAATTATATAATGGTAAATGAATTAACTCATTCAAAGTTTCGAGATGTCATACTAATGAATACAAAAGTTTAAAATTAGCTTTAAATTTTGATTAAATTTCATTCAAATGTCCACAAGCTGTTGTCAAACATTAAATTTAACTGCAAACCTCCAATTTACATTTATTACACTAATAAATATAAATTATAGTCAATATTGGTCATAATCGTTTTGATTGTTTTAATTGTGATACATTGATATTTAGTATATTGATAATGAAACTAAAATTTTGGTTTTGCTTTAATTATAAAGCTCTTATTTACGCTCTTATTACTTATTTATTATACTTATATAAATCTATTATTTTGATGTATAAGGTGCGGATACAGTGGCTTCTGATATCGATGGGTTGCGGTACACGACGCTTCTCTATGGTACCGGACCAGGCCATTCTGAACCAAGGGCTTTACCAGTGAATTCAACAACTTTGTCCCCTGATGCAGTACACGCCTCTGCAGTACCAAGACAATGGGCCACGCACGGGGGAGAAGACGTACCAATTTATGCCCTAGGTTTGTTAATTAGTGTTTCTAATAATTTTTAATGAGAAGACTGGTATTTGAGTTCAATGTTTATTTTTTTAATCGCAATTAAAAGCATTTGCTTTAATTGTGACAAAATTAATATTGGTTTAACATGGGAGTAAATTCTATCGAACACAAAATACCAAAATCGGTTTAGCATTGACTAAAATACCATGTTGTTGCATCTACACAAAATTATATCGAATTTAGAGATCTTATTAAAGTCGATTAAAACAAAAACAATAATACTTATATTATACTGTTTTTATAGGACCAATGGCAACAATATTATTCGCTGGAGTTGTAGAACAAAGCTATATCCCACACGCCATAGCATACGCTGCATGCTTTGCACACCAATCAAGACGATGTCAAGTAAAGACAAACTTCACACAGACACCGGTAAGTAATTTGTTTAATTGATTTACATGTATCTTATTTTGAGATAATTAAAAAAAGATTCATAGATGTAATTAGAAAAGGAAAAAAAAAATTAAAACATATAAAAAATATAACCAACTTGGAAGCTCCTTCATTTTTCGATTGTAAACAATACTAATATATTTGTAATATTTTAGGTGAAACTTCCCAACTGCGTACCGCCTGAAGTAAGTAGTGTTTCCGCTGCGGATGAAACAAGAAGTGATGGTTCAAACGGTCGACGGATCGTAATCGCTTCAAGCGTCATGTCAGATGAGCGAGCATCTCGCTCTACGGCTGCGTTTTTCGCTCAGCGTATCACGTTGAGCTGTCTTATACCAAGCTTGTTTCATTTCATATCGTACTTTTACTTGTCATTTATAATTCAGTGACAGTTTTACATCACACCACAAATTTGATTAATTTATGACATTGTAATATCAACTATTAAAACTATCTTTAGTACTGTTTCAGTTGTTAAATTAATTTTTATTTGGTAATATCACTATAATTACTTTAGATACACAATTTTAACATAATTATATGATTATTTTGTGTATAATAATTATATGTACAGGGAACGAATTTAGATGCGCCTGGTGTTACTGTAAATAGTTATTGTGTAAATAAATACAAAATTATTAATAAAATATTTTGTTTTTATTTCATTTACCAAAACTAAATAGACTGATTTATATCTATTCTGTTATTAATTAATTAATAGAGATAGTGAAAGGAAGGAATAGTTAATTATATAGCGTCTTGACCTCTTGCCTTATCGTCCTTTAATAAATTCAATTTATTAATTTTGTTAGTTACTGTAATTATTTTAATGATCTGCGTAAGCAAAATACATTCCTAGCCGTAAATGTTGTAAGCAGAATATATTTATTTATATCATAAAACACACACACATTCCAGACGAATAAAAAAAAATGTTATAACTTAAAGTTTTTTTTATTACTTTACTCAAAAAAATCTTGTTTCGTTGTTAAATATATTAATATTAGATACTGACACATTATTGAGCTATTTATAGCTATGAAATATCCCGATAAATTGTTCAGTGCAAATAATTACCTACTACGTACTTTATTTAGAGTTACAACCACGAAGGTCATGTATCTCTGGCCGATAGTTAAAGTTTGTGGGTTAATTAAAATTTCCGACAAACTAATGTAACAAAAAACAAAGTTGTTAAACCAAATTAATCCGAGAGGCGGCCGTAAGCTTACCACTGCCGCGTTCCGTTTAAATATGTTCGGTGAAATATGGGCATGATTGAACTTTACGTTTACTACTACGACATATAAGTGTCACCCTCTGGTATTATGAGTTTTCAGGCTGCCTTTATTACTTGTACAAGCTTCTGACCATACCTTTCTGGTGATAGTTGTGACTGCCTTTCAATGCATGAAGCAATATTTATTTTCGACCGACTTCAAAAAAAGGAGAATGTTCTCAAATCGGTGGTATTTTTTATGTTTGTTACTTTATAACTCCGTCAGTAATAATTTTAATTTGAAAAATCCCTTTTTACCGTACCTCCAAAGGAAAAACGGAACCTTTATAGGATCACTTCGTTCTCCGCCGTCCGTGCGTCTGTCTGTTAAGGTTCTTTTTTCTTGAGAACGCGTAGAGGTATCGAGTCAAAATTAATATCATGTCTGCAATCTCTTAAAGTAGTGAAAAATTAAACTTCTAAATTGACAAAATCAAAAGATATAGCCGTTTATGTTCCATTTATATCGAATATTTTGACATTCGCAAAGGGGATTAAAATCATTAAATTTGCCAAAAAACAACATCGCGTGGCACAAATAAAGGAAATAATCCGGAAACCATAAATTTATAGTTATTTTACAAAAAAAAATTGATGACTATACGGAATCCTCGTCGCGCGAGTCTGACTCACACTTGACTGGCTTTTTTATCTCAAATGATTTATTTTCAGATTAACCCCATACAAATTTTATCAAAATCGATCCAGTATTTTAGTTTTTAAATCAAAATAACTAGTTTTGTCACAATTGAGGTTAGTTTTTTATGGAACACACCATTAATAATATTAAAGCATCCAAACATTCATTTCAATTATTTTAATTTTGATCTGGTATTTGTTTTTAGGATCCCCAGATCGCAGTTTAATACTATAATTATCGTAAAAAATATTTGATTATCTATCTAAGATTATTCATTCATATAAGAATTCAAGACAGTCATAAGAATAATAATAAAAATATAAATTTAATATTATGTAATATTTCCTATATTTTAATGTATTAATTTTGTTACTTTATTACAAATAAATAAATAATATTCAATCAAAATATAAACGTCCATGAACTTTGTATAATTCGTCTTTTCAACGTAGAAATTAAACCAATAGAAATAATATATCAATTTATTAAATCATTAAGTTGATTATAGTTGATTATTTAAGTAATCATTAATTAATTACGTTGTTGATTAATTATTTAAGTAATCAACTTGATTTGCAATCAATCAGTCGTACTCTTGAACATACAAATTTGTTATAATTATATTAATTGGCATATATACCGAGATACGCCCTATTAATTACTGTTCAGTAACTAGCAATAGTAAAGGAAATTCGTTAATTATGTGTTTATTATACGTATAAATATATTTCAATGATAAATGACTGCAAACTATATTACGTGGCTTTGCCATCGTGAGTTACGATAAAGAGTAATGTGTTAATATTATTATTTTCTATTCGTATATAAATATTTGTTCAAAATCGTTTTATATATTAGTTAGATTGCCATATAACCGAGCGTCTCCTTCGTGTGAAATTAATTTAGTAGGAATTTGCAAAAACATTTTCTTACATTGTACAAAGTCGTTTTCTTCTATACTGTGAAACTATTTCTACACTTAATCACGTTTTTTTAAAGCGTCTTTTTAGACGCTACATTAGTTTAATATTCTTACAGAGTAACGCAGGTTTTTAATTACCATCTGGATGTAATAAGTAAATACTCCATCCATCAAGACCTAAATTGACATTTTAACAGATTAATAAAATGAGCATAAAAATCTTAGTTAAATAATAAAAGTGTAACTAGACGAAATCTGTACATAAGAGATGTTTAAGAAATATTTAAATGAGGGATCTTAATAAGAGCAAATTCTAAAACATTATTTTTAGAAATTTTGTTAGCCTGCCTGTCTGTTTTCGAAATTGTATTTCTAAAGATCTAATTTAAAAACTGATGCATATTTAGTCTTGAAATGTCAACTCTATTTCATTACTTTTCTTATTTCTGAAATCTATGGGCAAAAAATAACAAGCAAAAAGCTAGTTATAAAATAAAAAAACTTTAATGTGTTAACTAATACACAACTTTTCAGCCAAATAGTATGTAATATTTATATGTAGAGTGATAATACAACATTTCATTTATTTAATTTTAATATGTTTAAATATAATATTTACAAATTAATAACTATACTCGTATATGGCCTCACTATGTGCATCTTATATTTTTTTATACATTTGATTAATATAAATTCAAAATATAAAATGTTTAGATATTACAGCCACAGATTAAAAAAAATAGGAAATAGGTTATGTCAGACAATTTTTAAAAATTAATTTAATTTTAAGAATTTAGAGGGCTAAAGATTAAACAAGACATTGCATTACGTATTTGGGAACGATATTATTGGATTAACCTTAAGGGACGAGTTTGGGCATTTTCTACTGAGAAATTTATTGAATTACTTTATTGGTCGATTGGTACAGATTTTCCATTCAGTTTGACTCTATTACATTTTATTACATGTCATAAGCGCTACACCAAACAAATTTGATTGAACCAATAATTTGAGTTCTATGAAAAGCAATGAAAAGTTTGATTGAGAATCGTTCAGATGAAAACATTATCATTTATATATATATATATATATATATATATATATATATATATATATATATATATATATATATATATATATATATATATATATATATATATATCGAAATCGCTTCCTCTGGTTTTGACAATGAAAATACACACGCCAATATTGATTAAATTTGTAATCATACGCAAGTAATTATCATACGTAGACTACGTATTTTATAAGTGCATACATACCTCACTAACAGAAAAATGTGATCTGGGATCAGAACAAGAATCCGAATATATCAATTAATAGCGTTAACTACCTCATTAAACTTAAAACCATGATGTGACGTAAATCTTAGTATAAAGTTTTTTTTTTCAGCTTAGTGCATATAATATTTTTAACCTAAGAGTAATATGAATATTTTCATCAAATACTATTTAATTTCGACATGACACGTCAAGTTAATAATCTTGAGCATACAATATAAACTCAGAGCGTCAACCCTAACTCCTTTTGAACCTTAATCAAGCATTATGTTAATATATACCTATATGCTAGTAGATGCTAGAAGTAGGGCTGTCCGTGCCAACACAATTGTCACTTACTCAAATAGCTCGCGACACCCGCGTCTTTGTGAACTACGTTCCGTGCTTTGTTCCCAAGTGGAGTGCTTTTAACGCTATGACAAATATGGCAGGATAAATCATGGTTTACATTGTAATGTACAAACTGTTTTCCGCAGCCTTATCCGCGTTAAACAATATGTGATATATGCTTTTTTTTTATTAAGTAAATAAGTAATTATTAAGACTCCTCGTGTCAATATTCTGAAATATCTACTATGTATAGACATAGTCTAGTTACTACTTTTTGATTTTCATATGAGTAAAATATCTTGAAACATAAAGCATTATTTATTTGTAAACATGTTGCTTTAAGATCCGATCGTGAATTTAAAAAACTATATTATTAAATATTATTTTTAAATAATAAATCATTAAATAAGATATAGATTAAAAATTCTTACTATTCACATTAATATTGTAAGAATGGATATATAGTTAGGTGTTTGTTACTCTTTTACGAAAAGACTACTTAATTTAAAATGGCACATAGGTTATATCCTAACTTAGCACACAGGATACTTTATGTACTTACTGATGCACGTAAGCGGAGCCGCAGGTATTAATTAGTTATAAAGGTGAAAGTGATTTTGTTAATTACCTCACTCATTTTCTTGAGATGGTCAGTATATCAGAGTTACATGAAGTCACTAGCACTATTAATTATATATAAATGTCACATAGCAGCTTAGAGCAACTGAAATTCTAACCCAACGATGAGTTAATTGCACTAGACTAAATATTCCCAAGTAGTAGTGTTGGTGTTTGTTTCCTACAAATAGTTTAATTTGTTGCACGAAAACTTTTTAGTGCAATATACTTATAATAAAAGATTAGCGTTAATTTAATTTGAAAACTAGCTGTATTCCACAGCTTTGCCCATGTGAATCAGTACGCATAGTATCTTATGAGCTAAATTAGAACATAACCTACCCGAGTAATGTACTAAATTTTATTCAAATCCGTTCAGTGGTATTTGCGTGGAAGAGAAAGAAACATCTATCCATGCATCACGACAAAGTTTCGTATTTATAACGTTAATAGCATATTTAAAAAAGGTTTTGGATTTAGGAAATCTGATTGATTAAAAATTTGGATTCTTTTTCAGTTATATCAGTTTTTCAAACGTCATTGTACTCGTATCATTTTTCAATAACTCGTACGGTATAGTATGTTTAATATTATTACTAGCAACCCGCCCCGGCTTCGCACGGGTTCTTTACGGATT